AAGCTCCGCCTTTCGGATTCACGCCATTCTCCTGCCTCAGCCTCCCGAGTAGCTGGGACTATAGGCGCCCGCCACCTCGCCCGGCTAGTTTTTTGTGTTTTTTAGTAGAGACGGGGTTTCACCAGGTTAGCCAGGATGGTCTCGATCTCCTGACCTCGTGATCCGCCCGTCTCGCCTCCCAAAGTGCTAGGATTACAGGCTTGAGCCACCGCGCCTGGCCTCATTTAATAAGTTTTTTCTTTAAGGTTTCAAAATCAAGCTCAAATGCTGTGTATTACTGACATTCACCATTATTCAAGAAAACCTTTAATAACACTCTTCATATTATACTGTGATGAAAATATTTAAAAATTTTCAGGAAGGGCTGGTTTACAAAACAGAACTCTGTCTAGGGTCTGAGCCATTTTTCTCATACCCGTCCCATCCTCTCTCCGTAACAGCAGTGGGAGCAGTGACATAGCTCTCGGTTAAGACCGACACAAGACCGATACACAGGTGTTGGCATCTAATGCACTGAACTGTGCAAGTTCTGGGAAGTTGTTCTCTCTTTTTAAAAATAAAATTAGCTGGGCATGGTGACTCATACCTGTAACGGCAGCACTTGAGGAGATCATGGGAGAATCACTTCACCCCAGGAGTTTGAAACTAATCTGGGCAATATACGGAGACCCCATCGCTACAATTTTTTTTTTAAATTAATTAGCACAGCATGGTGCATGCCTGTAGTCCCAGATACTTGGGAGGCTGAGGTGGGAGGATTGTGAGTCCAGGAGACAGAGGAGACTGCAGTGAGCCAAGATCCTGCCATGGTATTCTGGCCTGGGCAACAGAGCAAGATGCAAAAAAAAAAAAAAAAAGATATTATCAAAAATTTAATATTTAATGCACACGTTTCCCATGTATGCAGGAGAGGAAAACTGACATTCCAAAATCAGCATAACTGAAAAAGACCAATTATATGAAGCCTGTGTATGTATGTTTAACAAAAAGTTAAAATTTTTTAAACTCATTCTGCAAAATGTTAGAAATACAAAGACAGAAGTCATATAGTGCAGCGGTGCCCAACCTTTTTGGTACCAGGGACCTGTTTCACGGAAGACAGTTTTTTCACGGACGGTTTGTGGGGGGTAGAGGAATGGGGATGGGATGTTTTCAGGATAAAACTGTTCCACCTCAGATCATCACGCATTACATTCTCTTAAGAAGCGCACAATCTAGATTCCTCACATGCATAGTTCCCAATAGGGCTCGCGCTCCTATGAAAATCTAATGCCACCGTTGATCTGGCAGGAGGTGGAGCTCAGGTGGCAATGCTCACTCACCCGCCACCCACCTCCTGCCATGCAGTTGGGGGGGAGTTGGGGACCCCGATATACTGTGTATACCATGTTAAAATAATTCAAGCATTTGGATTGTGCTGTCCTTTTAAATTTTAATAAAATAGATTAATTTCATATTACATAGAGAGCAAGTCCATCCACTCATTCATGATAAAATTTTAGAAATATTTTCTATAAAATGTTTAGTATTTGATTGGAAATGAATCCAGTATAACATGACTTCCACAGATACAGCATTCCCATCCTCACTCCCATTCTTATTTTGAGAAATTTTAAAAATACAGAAAAGTACAAAAAATAAGACAAGATATCCCTATACCACAATCCAGAATCAATCAGTATCTTCTTATATTTACTTGAAGTCTTTTGAAAGAGAAGTGGATGTTTATATAAAAAGCTGAAGTCCCCTTTAACCAATACCCACCCCACCTCCCACACTCATTACTTTCCCTTCTCCACTCTTCACAGGTGACCACTATCAAGAGTTTGGTCTGTTTCCTTCCAATCCATTTCCAAAACGTGTACATACATATATGCATCCATTACCAAGAGATAGTACTGAGTTTTGTGAGGGAATTTTTAATTCAAATTTACAAAGAGTCACTGTACTATCTGCATCCTTCTGCAACTTGATCCCCCTCAATAATTTTGGGATCTTTCTGTTAATACATGTGGATTTCATTTGTTGCATTTTACAGATATACAGTATTCCATAAGAATTTCCCATATTGTTCATGATGAGCTTTCTCCGTTGTTTCTAATTTTTGGCTACTACAAATCAAGCCACAGTAAATATCCTAGTATGTATTTCCTGAGCATTCATACTCACAAGTAGAACTGCTAAGTATTTTTGAAGTTGTTACAAGGAATGTTTCCCTATTCCCAAGGTCATATGCATTTTAGTATATAGCTTTTTCATATTTCTGTTTTTAATCTCTGGATTCACTTTTGTGTATAGTTCATGGTCTATTTTTTCCCCCTTGGAGAACAAATTACGTCCACTTAAAAAAAAATAGTTTCATTATTTCCTCACTTCCTGATGCCGCTTGTATCATATTCCAAATTCTAATAAATGCATAGGTCTTTTTCTGAAATCTCTTCTGCTCTGTTGAATCAATACCACAGGAGTCTTAATATTAGTTGTAGATGACCACGTCATCTATTTCTGTCTGTTCCTTTCCAATATTTACAACTTATTTTTCTTGTTACCCGCAAAGATCTCCAGATCGATGGTGGTAGCAATAAAAAACAGGCATCCATTTTCTGTTCCCGTTTTTAGTGAAAATGTGCCTAAACTTTCACCATTATCTCTGCCGCAGGTTTCTTTGTTGGACACAGGCTTTTTACCATATGCATATCTTTCTCTTCAGTACAAATTTTCTGGTGTCCTTTAAGTTTTTAGTACTTGTTAAAGTTAACCTCATTCGTGATGCTTTGCTTCAGAAGCATTATTTCTGGGGTACGATGAGGTGCAAATTTCTAATGAAAGCTTTCCCACGTTCAAGGCGTTCAAGGGGTCTTAGTGAGTGTGAATTTTCTGGTGTCTAATGTGGTGTGACTTCTGGCTGAAAGCTTTCCCACATTCACTGCACTGATAAGGCTTCTTACCTGTGTGGATTCTCAAATGCAGAGCAAGGGTTGAGAACTGAGAGAAAGCTTTCCCACATTCATTGCAACCATAGGGCTTCTCACCTGTGTGGCTTCTCACATGCACAGTGAGAGATGAGCTCTGAGAGAAGGCTTTTCCACACACATTGCATTCGTAAGGTTTATCACCTGAATGAATCCTTACATGTACAATAAGGGATGTTCTCTGAGAGAAGGCTTTTCCACATTCGTTACATTCATAGGGTTTCTCTCCAGTGTGAATGTTCTGATGTTTTATGAGGTACTTCTTCTGGCCAAAGGCTGTTCCACATTCACTACATTTAAAAGGCTTCTCTCCAATATGGATTTTCTCATGCTCAGTAAGGTTGGATTTGCCACTGAAGGTTTTTCCACACTCCTTACATACAAAGGGCTTCTCTCCTGTGTGAGTTCTCTGGTGTCTGATGAGGTTTGACTTCTGAATGAAAGCTTTCCCGCAATCTTTACACTCAAAAGGTTTTTCTCCAGTGTGAATTTTCTGGTGCGTAAGGAGGTTTTCCTTCTGGCTAAAGGATTTTCCACATTCATTACATTCGAAAAGCTTCTCGCCGGTATGGGTGTTCTGATGTTTAATGACATACTGCTTTTGGCTAAAGGCTTTTCCACACTCGTTACATTCAAAAGGTTTCTCTCTCGTGTGAAAATGCTCATGCTCAGTGAGGTTCGACTTGTGGCTGAAGACTTTCCCACATACCTTACAGGCAAAGGGGTTTTCCCCACTGTAGATTCTCTGCTGGCTGAGGTGTGACATCTGAATGGAAGCTTTCCCACATTCACAAGGTTTCTCTCCAGTATAAATTTCTTGATGAGTGAGGATTTACTTTTGGCTTAAGATATTTCCACATCTCTTACATTTATAAGGCTTCTCTGTGTATGACCTCCCAAATGCAGAGTAAGGGATACGGTTTGAGAGGAAATGTTATCATACTCAGTACATTCAATGCTTTCTCTCCAGAAAAATTTTCTAATATTCAATGAAGTATTGCTACCTTCACTGGTTTCTCTCCTCTCTCATGAATTTTCTGCTTCTCAGTGAGACTGTCATCTAGCTACGGGCTTGTCAACACTCCTCAGAAGCACGGGGTTTCTCTTCAGCATGACTTCTACGTTCGATAAAATGTGACATGTGAGTAAAAGTTCCCCCACATTCAGTAAATTCATAGGGTTTCTCTCCAGTATGAACACTCTGGTACGAGACGAGGTACAAATGTTTTAAACCAGAGGCATTTACACTTAAAGGGGGTGAATACCATAAGGAGTAAGCTGTGGTAGAGAAGTTGCCAACTAATTCCCTTGATAATTCTTTCCTGCACAACCTACCTCATGATTTCAGTCCAGGTTGTGTTTCAAACTCAAACTTCAAAAAGCTGTGGCCTTAAAACAAATAAGGTCTGAGAACAGAGGAAGTATTTTTTCTTATATTCAATGCTCTTTCCCTCAGTCTTTACTGGAGATGGATCAACGTGCCTCCGACGTCCTGGTGCCTCTCTATCTGTGCATCATCTTCTCAGGCTTCCTCTAAAACAGAGTACAAAGAACCACAGCACAAAGGAGTTAATTCACAAAGTGCCCAGAACCATGGCTGGCACATGGTAGGCCCTTCATCTTGCCTTTATATTACCATCACTTTTATTTGTGAATTTTCCCATTGCTAGCAATAAAACTTTTTGAGATTAACTCTGGTAGCCCATCTTCCAATATGAAAAGAATCTATATTTTTTTTATTTTATTTTATTTTTGAGACAGAGTCTTGCTCTGTCACCCAGGTTGGAGTGCAGTGGCATGATCTCCCCTCACTGCAAGCTCCACTTCCCGGGTTCATGCCATTCTCCTGCCTCAGCCTCCCGTGTAGCTGGGACTACAGGTGCCCGCCACCACACCCGGCTAATTTTTTGTGTGTTTTTAGTAGAGACGGGGTTTCATCGTGTTAGCTAGGATGGTCTTGATCTCCTGACCTCGTGATCCGCTCGTCTCGGCCTCCCAAAGTGCTGGGATTACAGGCTTGCGCCACCGCGCCCGGCTGAGAATCTATATTATTAATGCTTCCAACTAAATTATGAGAAGGGAACCCTACTTGAGGTGATCTAGGTAGAAAATAAACATTCATGGGTTACAAAGCTGAGAGTACTCTTGAAAAATAGCCTTTCCATTTCAGAATTAGGAAGTTGTATAACAAATAATGAAAAATTGCCAAATAGAAGAAAAAGATGACTACATAAAAATTAGAAAGTCCACCTGGGATGCTAGGGAAGAAAAATAATGCTCATATTTCTTTCTTTCTTTTTTTTGAGATGGAATTTTGCTCGTTATCCAGGCTGGGGTGTAGTGGTGCGATCTCGGATCTCGGCTCACTGCAACCTCTGCCTCCTGGGTTCAAGCGATTCTCCTGCCTCAGCCTCCCGAGTAACTGGGATTACAGGCACACGCCACCACACCCGGCTAAATAATGCTCATCTTTCTAAGAAAGGGAATAAATCAACCCACAAGTGCTTCCTCCCAAAACCCCATTAAAATGATAAGAAAGGGGAAAATGGTACAAACTCACAAGAAAAAAAAATTTACAAGAGACACTGGTACACAACAATAGGTATTAACCAACTTTTCAATAATGGAAAGGATACGGAAGAGTTCAATGCACAGCAGAGTCATCTGAGGAAACTCAAATAATGCGAATATACTGCAGAAGAGAGCGCCAGTGATTTGTACCACAAAATATCGGAAAAACTCAGAAAATGAAGTGAATTAGGTTTTTCAAAAGGAATAAAGGATGGTGGCTGAAAAAAAGTGTAAGGAGCAGTTGAATACGCACTGTTCAGTTATGAGAACAAAGGACTGGCCACATCTTCGTATGAAATGGAAGTTTATCCCCTGCAGAAATTTAATCAGAGCTCAGGGGAATCCAGCAAATGAGATGACAGGAATGAACTTCTATACGGAAATCAGAGATTAAACCCACATATGTGGTAAGACCTGCAGCACCATTCTGCAGCTGAAGACAAAAGATGTTGGCAACCAGGTATATATACCTACGGGCAGGATACGAGAGGATCCTTCTCTGGATAAACCGGAAGGCCCACAATAAACGTCATTAGCAGCCTGGCCAACATGGCAAAACCCTATCTCTACTAAAAATACAATAAATTAGCCTGGTGTGGTGGTGCACACCTATAGTCCCAGCTGCTTGGGAAGCTGAGGCATGAGAATCGCCTGAACCTGGGAGGCAGAGGTTGCAGTTAGCTAAGATCACGTTACTGCACTCCAACTCCAGCCTGGGTGACACAGCAAGATTGTTGCAAAAACAAAACAAACAAACAAAACCTCATTAAGATGCCCCTCCAAGATGATAAGTGTCACTTGTATTCATATTTCATTGGCTAAAACAAAGGACTTGGCCATGGCTGCTCACTGGAGTCAGACAGTATAATCTTCTGCAAGACGGAGACCAATGGTTCAGTAAGCATTTCACTTTTCAGCCACTGAAGGATACAAGCACCCAGGCACAAAAGAGCTCATGATCACCTTTTAGTGAGCTGTTAACTAATATTCCACTAACCCCACTAACATGAAAGACATCAAAATCAAGAGAAAAAAGTTATGAGAAAATAAAGGCAAGGTCCAGCAGACAACACTAAAACCAATCAGGAATAGGTAGAAGATATTTTGTCAGTTAAAGAACAACAGGGTTTTGTAAGCAAGAAATGGAAAGAAAAGTTCCCTTAGAAATTAAGAGTGTTGGAGGGAGAGGGGGGACATAAAGCAGAGCATATCCACATTCATCAATAACAAGTTACCTTGTTCCAGAAGGCATCACTTGCCTCACCCTAGCAAACTCAGGCATGGCTGGGTGCTCACTTGGCCGATAAAATAGGATCACAAGTGACAAATGTCATTTCATGGTAGAAATTTCCATGACAAGTTCAGAGGACACACCAAGGAAACATAAAAGCTGAGTAAAAGAAGTTCCAAAAAAGGAAAACTCATTAGAGGAAATATTCAAAGAACAAAAAAACTGCCTCTACTCTAAGTCAAAGGGACAATTTGAGTAAGAATAAGACCCATACCTAGTTACATTACCGTGACATTTCAAAACAGAAAATACAGAGGTTGGCCGGGCGCAGTGGCTGAAGCCTGTAATCCCAGCACTTTGGGAGGCCGAGACAGGCAGATCACGAGGTCAGGAGATCGAGACCATCCTGGCTAACATGGTGAAACCCCGTCTCTACTAAAAAATTCAAAAAACTAGCCAAGCGAGGTGGCGGGCGCCTGTAGTCCCAGCTACTCGGGAGGCTGAGGCAGGAGAATGGCGTAAACCCGGGAGGCGGAGCTTGCAATGAGCTGAGATCCGGCCACTGTACCCCAGCCTGGGCAACAGAGCAAGACTCCGTCTCAAAAAAAAAAAAAAAAAAAAGAAAAAGAAAATACAGAGGTTATAAGTGTTTTCAGAAAGAAAGAAAAAGGCTGGACACAGTGGCTCACACCTGTAATCCCAACACTTTGGGAGGCCAAGATGGGAAAACCACTTGAGCCCAGGAATTCAAGACCAGGCTGGACAATATAGTGAGATCCCATCTCTACAGAAAAAAAAAAAAAAGTAAAGCGTTTCCGAGACCAAAAAGTCTGAGAACAGCTGCTCAAAATATCCATTCAACAAATACTTGTCTCATTACCATGTGCATGGTACAGTTCTAGGCTCTAGGGATAAACAGTATTGAACAAAATTGATAATATCCCCTGCTCTCATCAAGTTTACATTCTAGTGGATATGATAACAGAATAGAGATGGTTTTTTAAAAAGCAGTCCGGGCACAGTGGCTCCTGCCTGTAATCCCAACATTTTGGGAGGCTGAAGTGGGCGGATTACCTGAGGTAAGGAGTTCAAGACCAGTCTGGCCAACATGGCGAAACCATCTCTACTAAAAATACAAAAAAAAAAAAAATTAGCTGGACATGGTGGCAGGTGCCTGTAATCCCAGCTACTTGGGAGGCTTAGGCAGAATTGCTTGAACACGGAAGATGGAGGTTGCAGTGAGCCGAGATCACACCGATGCACTCCAGCCTGGGTGACAGAGCGAGACTCTATCTCAAAAAAAATAAATAAATAA